GAGGCATTAGGGGTAAGGGGGGGGGGGATAATAGCGCGACAACACGCTATTACCATTTCGCTTCAGCTGAGAAGTGTAGCCGTTTTTTTTCCGTGTGTTTTGATGGCTGTTTCAGGCATTCAGACTGTCTTACTGACAATGTCGAAAAGACTAAATGAGACGTATCCAGCCTAAAGCTCATCTTAAGTGTTTATGATTTATTTCTTCTTAACTCTTTTTGAAAAATTTCAGGGAATCTCCCCCTGAGGATCAATACGCCGACTTGCGCTACGACCCAAACTGGAGGAAGAATTTGGAAGGGGCTTATTTTCTCAACCAGCTAGATGCAAGACTTTCTCTCGACTCGTTTGAGGAGTCTGAAGACAGTCTTGAACCCTTGGAGAATGTGCCTCTAGGTTGCAGGCAAGAATATGTCGTTGTCAGTAATCCACCCACAGCTCAGACGGACAGTGCTTTATCCCCACCACCTTCATCGCCTTTCCACCTGCACCCACAACAGGAAGACATTATCGATCCCCCCGAATCAAAAAGTTCTTGCATGTCCTCTGAAGGCACACCACAGGATAATGTAAAGCATCTGAATGTCAAATCAGTTCCTCTCCAGAAGAGAAGCTCTCGACATCCTTCTAATCCAAGGCCAGTGAGAGCTAGGGAAGACATTGTGGAACGTAATAAAGCAACGCTTGGTATCAACACACATAAGCAGGGGTCTTACCTAAAAGCTCGTCAGCAGAAAGATAAGACAGATGAAACAAAGCAAGTAAGTATTTTTTTTAATTTCCGCGGGGAAAATCATATCCTTATTTCTTAATTTGTCTTCTCTTATTCTGTCCTATAGGCCATTCATGATTACATTTAGTTTATGTAAACCTAAACATATTAAATTAATTGTTTGGAAGCATTGGTGACTGAATTGAAGTCCCATTGTTGACCACTAGGGGGTGAACTAACACAGCATACAGCTCAATGTCATATATCAGGGCAGTTTAGGCCCAAGGCTACTGTTGTTGCATAGATATTTTATTTTTCAAGATGACTCCATTTGTATAATTATTTAAAATTAACCAATATCATGACTTCAGTATTGCTATAGAACTACATAATGTCCAAAAATAAATAAATAAATAAAAACATAGTGACTAATGTCCATTGCTGTCAGCCTATGTTTTATAATAAACATATTTTATATTTATATGTTTGTTTTTTTAAATAGAACTTCAACATTCAGGTTAACTGCATTTGTCGTTAAGTCCAATTGTGATTTATTATGAAAAGTTTTCTAATGTAATCTGTGTATTTAGTCTAGATACATTATTTTTTTTATGTATTCGATTGTGTGTAGGTTCACATTTTTCTTTTTACACACAAAACAGGCCATATCATGTCTAGCATGACCTGACCTTTATCTTTGCTCTTTTTTAATCTGAATAAGTGACCTTGGTGTTTTCATTGCTCTGGTTTGAAGGAGACTACACTGCCTGTGTTGCGGGAATTAATTTGGCAGACACACAGAGTCTTCAGATGGAGCGGAGAGAAGAGAATGAATCATGTCTACCTATGTAGTACCTATTATGAGTTGATCTGCACAACAGTGGCTGTTAAGAACATCAGAGGGGCATGGTTACCAATAGGCTCTTAGTTATCAGTGCACCTGGCCCATGGTATAATTGGCAGGGTTGGCTTGTCTGCACAGTGTGGCCCATGTGTATTTGCTACATTTAAGATCTTACCCAGCCCATCTGAGCCCAGTCCCACCTTAATGTCTCACATCAGCAGCATTAGCATAGTGAAGAGCCGTTAGCATTGTGACATGGTAAACGGAGCAAAGCTCTCCCTGCTATAGATGGTGCCCTAAATGCACCAGCAGTGCCCTGGTGTGAATTCAGTGCATTGTCTTTCCGAGAAATATAGTGCACTGTCAAGTTCCATTTATAAGGCGGCATTGTAAGTCTTTTAAGTGGCAGCTCATTGAAAAATGTTTTATTTTGAGTTATTTTCTCCTCTCTTGAAAAAGAAACCAGTGGAGTGGTGACTGCAGGATTTCCCCAAGAAAATATTCTAATAATATCCATTTCAGTCTGGATGAGAGTGAATATCAGTCAAGATAATTTTCAAAAGATTAATAAGTGCTCTTAAACCTGTGTAGATTTTTTTAATAGCCATTAAAGGGGATTGAGAGATAATCTTTGGATAACTCAGTATGTATTATTCCAAGAGAGTAAACAAATGTTTAGGCCTTTTTTTGTTTATGAAAAATATCCATCAGGTCCATTTTTATCCCAGGTACAGATGAGCTGAGTGTATTTAAATATGATCAGTAAACCAACCTGGGCACAAAAATGTCTTCTTTTCTTTATGCACAGTGCAGTGATGTTGATTTTTAAAATTACGTTTAAATAGAATGATATATTTGGAAGTTCTTAAACACGTTCATGTCTAAATTCCTTCAGGAAGTCAGTCACACGTGCAAACTATCATACAACAAGGCTTTTGCAGTATAACGTAACACATAAAGAGCAATAGAAATACTTCTGCCACTTGGTTAAAGTTTTGCTTTTTTTGTCATTTGCTTGCTATGAGAGAGAGCACAAAACCCTCATACCTCACGTTCGTTATGTAGCTAAGCATCTGCTCGTGAATTTGATACACAGCCTACACTTTTGCCCTTTTATTTGTTATTTTGTGGCCCCGTTACCTTCAAAGGGAATAAAAAGCCCCTCAGCTCCCATCAGTTTTCAGCATCATTATCAAGGCGCGTCTGTTGGGCTTTTAAAAAGCCACTATTTACTCTTTCACAAACCCCTAACTCCCGATAATTAGCTGTGTTATTAAATGTACACAATCTCATAATGCACCAACTTCCAACCGGCGTGTGTGGGAGTGATGATGAGCTCCAGCAGAGACCCCTTTGATAAAGACAGAAGTAGCAGTGCAATCTTCTGCCATTGCACTCAGCCCCAATCCCTCGTCATCCCCCAGACCCTCACTTCAAAGCCAGGAACATAATGTACAATCTCTTAATAGCTCTAGACCAAGGCTCCGCGGCTCTCTGCCACTGTATACCCTACCTCAGTGTAAACACCTAATCAAGATTGCCTGGGCGGTCACAATAGCAACCAAATGCAATTCAAGAATTGCGTCCCTTTGAAGTCTTCATCGCAAAAGCTGTGTTTCCCAGTCTTGAGGAAAATGGCAAGCTCCAATCGCCTGACTTTGTAGTGCCACGTCTCGGCCCAAGAGGCAATTACGGGCCCCAATTTAACAGAATAGATATTACGCAGCTTATGAAGCTCAAAATGCAATTTTGTTTGATCATTTCCTCAATTTGATTGAGATTATTAAAATGATGGACAAAAGGCAGTGGTCATGGATGGGGCAGAGGTTGTGGCCTGCTGCGGCTAAGAGGACATGAAGGGCAGGTCTGTGATGTCTGCTACTCACACACCTGTTACAACAGAGCTCAATCTCTCTACTTGAAATGATACTTGCCTGATACAGGAAAATGAGTTGGAAACGCAGCCTCCTATTAAACCTGCAGCATAGCAAACAACACATATTACAATATGATTTTATTCTAAAAGATATTTTAATTCATAATGAGGACCACTGCTATGAACGTCTGTGCATTGCCTGTTTGCTGTTTTGCAATATTGTTTTTGGTGCAATTTCTAAATTTCCAGTTTTCAATTCTGGACTGTGTGAAATTGAAATTCCAAAAAAGTTTCAACCCTCTCAGAACCAGGGTTAGACAAATTCACAATTGAAGCATCGGATCTGTTTCAGTTCATGATTTGAATTGACTAAACCCCACAGGATTAATAATTTACTAAATTGAAATGAAAAGAAATTCTACATAGTATGTTAAATTTCGTATTATGTTCAGTAAATATGATGAAATATATCAACTAAAAACAATTTTATAGGTGCATCTATCTATTTATCTACAATGGGTATACAGTAGAAAAGTATCCCCCCCCCCCTTAAAATAATCACATTTTGTTGCTTTGAAGCCTGAAATGAAGATGGACAGAGTTTGTGTTTTATCCCGCTGTATTTACATCCAAGTGAAAGATATAACACCAGCATGTCAAAAAATAAGTCGGAAAAAGGATCACCCCCTTTTAAAAATGACTTGTAAACTCAATCAGGTGTAGCTAATCACCTTCTCAATGGCACGCAAAGCCATTTGACCTTCAACTGTGATCAGCTGTGCTCGTTTTGATTAGCTCAGCATGAAAAGAGCTTTCCTGGAGCATTTCAGTTCTTGGCAGTGCAACTGAAACAAACAATCAACTATGTGTGGCAAGGCACTGTGAGAAGATCTCTGGGATAAAGTTGTGGACAGGCACAAGTCAGGAGATGGATACAAAATTCAAAGGCTTTATCAATGCCAAGTCTATTATTAAGAAGTGGAAGGTATTTGGTACAACACAGACCCTCCCTGGATCAGGACGTCGCGCCAAACTGGATGAAAGAGCCGAGGAAACTGGTCAGAGACGCTATCAAGAGGCCTACAGCAACTCTGAAACAGTTGCAGGAATTTCTGACAAATAGTGATCATTGTGTGCATGTGACAACAATATCACAAATTCTCTATGGGAGGGTTGTGAGAAAAAAGCCACTACTCAAGAAAGACTGCCACATGCAGTCACGACTGAGCTTTGCCAAAACGCACCGTGAAGATTCTGAGGCCACATGGTATACAGCTCACCATCCAAATAACAGCATTCCTACAGTAAAGCATGGAGGTGGTAATGTCCTGTTATGGGGGTGTTTCTCTGCAGCAGGGACTGGATCACTTGTCAGCATAGAAGGAAAAATGGATGGGGTAAAATACCATCAAATTATTGAGGAAAATCTGCTGCCCTCTGCCAGAAAGTTGTAAATGGGATGAAGGTTTACCTTCCAACATGACAATGACCCAAAGCACACAGCAAAACTGACCACACAGTGGTTGAAGGAGAAAAAGGTGAATGTCCTTGCACGGCCTAGCCAGATCCCAGGCTTAAACCCCATTGAAAATTCATGGGATGGCTTGAAGACTCCAGTCCACAAACAGTCACCATCAAATTTAACTGAACTTGAGAAGTTCTACAAAGAAGAGTGGGCAAATATAGCAAAGTCTAGATGTGTTTAGTAGTTAGTAGAGACATATTCCAACAGACTAAAGGCTGTAATTAAAGCAAAAGGTGGTTCATCAAAATACTGACACAATTGGGTGATCCATTTTCCTATTCAGTGATTCTGTTTTTGTTTTTTGTTTTTTCTAACATGTTGTTATATCTTTCACTTGGATGTTATAAGTTGCATTGAGTAAATACCGCTGGATAAAACAAAAACTGTGCAAAGCAACAAAATGTGAGTATTTTAAAGGGGCCATACCCACTGTATCTGTCAGTCCATCTACATTATCCATCTATCTATCCATCTTTCTTTTTTAGAACCACAGTTGAAGACCACTGGTTTAGTCAAATATACAGATGCAGATAAATAACTGTCCACAGAGTGTCTCTACGTTGAAGGCTGTTTACAAATCAGTTCCTTGCGCGCATGGCCTTTCGCTAAATAGATAGACCAGCATGGCTGCCTGTTTATTGATGGATATGTTACAACTCAATCCACTCACTGCTGCATGTGTCTCTTTGACCTTCCTCTTTTCACGCTTTCAGAATTAGCCGCATGCATTCAGGGACGCCGCAAGCTGTCAATGCTATCGATTGGCAAGAATTGTCCTCGGCCGCCAAAGTGACTGGAAGTTTACTAAATGATTTTCATTACAGCATTAGCTGTAGATATCCTGCCTCTGAACGTGTACATTAAGAAAAATTGAGAGAGTGCACTGATGTAACGTGGACGTATCTAGACACTTATCTCCGAACTGCTTTGAGAGAATCATTTTAAAGAGAATCAATAAAACACTCTTCTAGACACATGTAGGTCAGCTCAGAGGAGCTGTGGTTAGTAATTAAGAATAAAAAGTTGATCATAAAAAGCCAATTGAATTGGTATGTTTGCCAGACGCTCAGGGACGAATGATTTTATAGACAAACCTGACTGTCTGTCAGCTCCATTTTTGAGTAGGTGGACGATTTATGGCAGCTGCCTGCATACATTTACGCCAAACGCAGTGTGTAATTTCACCCAGACATTTCTTCTCATACTCATGAATGTCTTTGTTTCGCTCTCACAGTGCACAGTTTGCCCCAGTTGTTTGCAGTCAATAGTTGAATATAAATGTGAGGCGAAATAATAGCATTTCATCGACAAGGCATCAGGTGAATTGTTAAAAGGAGGCTTATCAAGCAGTCAACCCTTTCACTCCCCTTTCCCTTCTTTCTTCTCTTCTCACAGCCCAGGCAAACCTCCTACGAGACTATCAGCACTCATAGCCCGGAGAGTCAAGACAATGTCTGGGATCCCGAGCTGATGTGGCTCCAAAAAACACAAAAACTGAAGGTAGGGCTCACTTTATTGATTCCATCCATCTCTATCTGTGCAGATGTAGGTGAAGCTGCTTGGCACAATCCATTGCCCTAATGCATAACAGTCTGCGAGGGTTTCCTCTCAAGATGAAAATGTCTGCACGGTGGGCACACTGTCACCCGGGATTTCATTTCTGCTGTGATGGACGCAATTTCTGATAGAGTTGTTCAGGCACAATGGAGCCTCTGAAATGTCTTGAAAAGGAGCCTGTGTCGAGGAAAGAGGGGGAATGGAGAAGCATCATTATTTTGAGCACTTGAACGGTCACCTTAATGCCAGCAAGCAGAGGAGTGTAAATATTTTCCCATTAAGAATGGTGCAAGCTGGTGTTGGCTAAATCAGAAGCATTACATGCTGAGGCACAGCCTCAGACCTCTCAAGAATAATGTTCGTCGGTCCCCCATCAATGCCAGGCTCAACACAAAGAAACATTATATAAATGCTCCTGTCTTTCTTTCCTCTCGGTCATAAAAATATCCATGAAGCCACAGTTATATAAGGACATATCTCTGCTCAATGGGATGTATTCTTTTAGCAAATTAGAGTATGTGCGACACTATTTCCAAAATCTTTTTAATGACTTGAATTTGAAATTTAATTTTTATGGGGCATTATTTTGTGCAAATCGATTTTGCCCAAAGAGCCCTCGTCATTCTTGGGAAAATTATTTCATTTATGATAATATCATCCTTTTGTGCCTTCAGACTTTGAAAAACAACATCTAGAATTTAGCTTCATGTCATAACACAGAATAGATCTTAAGTGCTTTGGTCAGATTTTCATTTTTTCTCCTAATTTTTACCCAATTACAGCTGAGCCATAAAGAAAAGAAGGAACCGAAGTGGAGGGAGCGATCCAGCAACCACCCAGATCAGCTCAAGCCTCCTGAATCCAAACCCAGAGCGCACCTTAAACCCCTTACAGAGAGACACGTCATCAGCGCTGATCACCTGCCACAGGACTCTGAGGAAGCTTACACCCATGACCCACCACAACAGTCTGGACTTCCATCTCACACTCATGCTCCACCGACCGTCAACCTTAACATAAACTTCCACACATCTGCCAACAACACACAGACACTGAATATTTCCCAGAAAGAGACCGTTTTTACTCTTGTTTCACAAGCTCTGCAATGGGATAGGACTAATCTGTTTAACCCAACCATTTTGCAACAAGGTTATCCATTTTACCCTTATGTGCCTCCTAATTCAGTACGGCAGATGGGATTGGCTCCAAAAGCAGTTGTATCTTCACCAGCCCCCAAGTCTGAAGTGGTACAAGCTGTGGACAGAAGTGTTCCTCAGAGGCATGCTGGGAAACCTACTCCAAATACGTTTGAGAAGGCATCATTCAAGAATCACAACAGATGCAGGCAAGTCCAGAAACATACTTTATGCAAGTATTTAGTATATGTTTATAGTATATTCACACACTATTGTATTCTTTTAAGGCTGCAGAGTGTCTTTTTTCAATCAGCTTATTGTGGGTCAGTGACGCTCATATTTTGTCTTACCTGTTAATTTACTCAGTAATGCAATTCATACATTTAATGACTTGAATACACCACTTCTATACTTCTAATTTCTGAATTAAAATTCATATTAATATTTTTTGGACAGCATTATGTAAAAAATTGTCAGGGTGTCATAATAAAAAAGCCTCATTAAAAATTACCATAAATTCTTAAAAGGAAAACCTATTTATTTTGGCATGATGTGTTATCATTCTTTCTTAGAAAAAACATTTTAACAAAACTGCTTCACGACCTATTAATATTTGAAATGGCGTGACCAACAAAATCATGTTGTGCAACCAACATGCAGGGGGAAAAAAACCTTATAAAACAGGAAATGATATCATTGAGAAAACCCCTGCAGACCCATTATGTGTGTTATGGTCATTAAGTCTCCTAAAACATCAGATTAATTGACATTTTTAGACAAAGTTGGTTCAGATAGTAAATTTTCATATAGTGTGACTCCAAAAAATTTAATGATATTAATGTAGAGATATAAATACTTTTTCCTCGAACAATGTATATAAAAACAATATTCCTATTGAACAAATGGAAGACAGTGTTTTACAACTTTTTTTGGAAATACATGTATTTATTTATTTATTTATCCATTTGGTGGTGACACTAATCCCAGAGAAATTGCACGCTGCAGCTTTAGAATATACAATATGCAAAATATGTACCCTAGGTTTTAGCATTCATATTATGATTCATATTTCCATAGGATACCAGTGCTAAAATTGCCCACGTCTTCTCAAGTGGAGGCCAGCCACTATCCACCTGAGCTTTTTCCCATTGATGAGGAGAGCGTGGAACCCTGTGCGCACCCAACACAAATCTCTGGTCCTTACACAGTGCTGCCCCCTATAGCCCGAGCTAATGGCAGCGACACTGAACTCTGCTCAGATAGATCAGAGCAGCAGTTGAATCCAATCCACAGAAGCAGCTCAGAAGGTTACCTTTCACAGATGGAAAAACACAGACAGCTGAAGGCAAATTCAAATTATAAGGTGTGTATTTGTGTGTTTAGTTAAGATTCAGTGTGTTTTTTGTTTATCCTTTGTCTAGTATGTGACTCTTATTTTACAGCCTTTTGTTTTCAGTCTTTAAAATACATTTTAAATATTAAAATATGTTACATGTATAATGTGTAGATTTTTCTCGCAGTATAAAATCAATTATAATTTAATATTAATTTTAGTAATGGAGAACCTTGTAAAAAATCATATTTAGGGGTCCGAGGCATCAAAAAGTTTAAAACCCCTGATTTAAACCCATTATTGTAATAATTAGCAAAATAGCAAAACAAATAGCATAATAACTACAGCGCCCAGTTTATACTTAGTAAACATCTTTAAATTGCCATGACAGTATCTCACTGGGGCCTGGTGCAGATATAACAATTATTGTGTGGGCCGATTCAGACAGCAGGTTAATTGTATAAGTAATTGAAGACACTCTTAATTGCAATGAGATGATGATATAAGGCACGGTCACAAAGACGACATTGAAAAGCGTTAGAGGATAAGGTGATTAAGCAGCACCCCCGTCTGTGCGGAGCAGGGCTGGTAAGATGGTGATTTGCATTTAATGATGGCCTCTTTGTCCTCTAGCACTTTGAGTTCTGCAGGAAAGTCTCTCTCAGGAGCAGACTTACTCAATAACCCGTGGCCATTTACACTGTTGAGAATATTTATATTTACTCAACAGTTGTGTCTGTTCAGTTGAAGGAGTGAAGGAAAGTTCACCCAAAAATTTAAATTATGGCAACACTTGCTCACCCTTGTGTCATTCCAAACCTGTATGACTTACTTTCTACTGTGGAACTGTTTTTGTCCATATAATAGAAATGGGGTCCAAAACAGCATCGAACCACTTTGACTTTCACTGTATTGATAAAAAGATATTTTCAAAAATTTGCTGAAAATTTACTCACCCTCAGGCCATCCAAGATGTAGATGAGTGTGTTTTTTCGTCTAAACAGGTTTGGAAAAATGTAGCTTTACATCACTTGCTCACCAATGGATCATCTGCAGTGAATGGGTGCCATCAGAATGAGAGTTCAAACAGCTGATAAAAACATTGCAATAATCCATAAGACTCTGGTCTATCAATTAATATCTTGTGTAGTGAAAAGCTGCATGTTTGTAATAAACACATTAATCATTAAAACGTTTTTAACTTTTTTTAACAGAACCATTGCCTCTGGCTAAAATACAAGTCCTTTATCCATAATATTGCTTTCTCCAATGAAAAATTTGTCTCATCTGAATCAGGAGAGTAATATTCACAGATCAAGCACTGTTTACAAGCGAAAACAGCCCAGAACAGTTCTTAACAAATATGTCAGGGGATTTTGATGTGAAAACAACAGAGGATGGACTTTTGCTTGAAGCGATGGTTTAAAGTTAAAATGCCTTAATGGTGGATTTGTTTCTTACAAACATGCAGCTTTTCATTTCACAAGACATTAACTAATGGACTGCCGTTTTGTGGATTACTTGTGGATTATTGTGATGTTTTTATCAGATGTTTAGACTCTCATTCTGACGGCACCCATTCACTGCAGAGGATCCGTTGGTGAGCAAGTGATGTAATGCTAAATTTCTCCAAATCTTTTATGATGAAGAAACAAACTCATCTACATCTTGGATGGCCTGAGGATGAGTAAAGTTTTGGCAAATTTACATTTTTGAAAAGAATTTTCATTTTTGGGTGAACTATCCTTTTCAATTATTGTAGTATCTGTACTATTGTGCTTCTAGATCAGTAAAATTCTTAGTGCTGCATGAACACGTCACAATTTAAGGGTCATTATGTCATGGAACATATCCACTTGATGCTATGTCCGGATTATGCGGTTCTTACACCATAAAACCGATTGCTTTCCTGGGAGAAGCTTGCTCTCCTCACCTTGCTGTGCTCGCCATCATGTCTCATAGGATTATGGGATAAATTTGTAAAACAGCTAGTGTGGCAGCCCAAGGGGAAGCAGATCAGAGTGGAAAACAGCTGTCCTGCAGTGTCCATGACCAATGGCTGAGTCCTGAGAATCCGAAGGAGCCTGACCTGATTAGTGCTTTTGTTTGCAGATTGTTGCATGAGTGCACTTTAGGATTAAGACTGTTTTTCTCACAGTATCTTTAATATTTAAACAGTCATGTGGATAGTGAATAAATATATATGCATTACAAAATGTCTTCTCAGGCTTATACACTGAAGGACTACAAAAACATGAAACAGGAGGTGAAGCTTGGAGGTCTTGGACCAACAAACACAATACCAGAAGCTGTGGTAAATACTCACTTCAGATTGTATAAAGACTTGAGCATCTGGTGATATACATAAATAATGTTGTTTAATCAGAATAATTTGTGTGTGTGGAGATTTAGGAGAAAGACTCAATGGATAATTGGTGATCTCCTTGTTGAATATTGATTTAGCTAATCCCTAATTGCTACATCCAGTTGTCAAGTGTGGCCGTGTCTCAATAACCCCCTCTTTTCATTTCCTCGTGATTTTAAAAGACTTGTGTTTCTGAACACAATAGAAATGGACCAACTAATCTAATGAGCATAGCCCTCAAAAAGCAAACAGAGACATTTTCCAGCTCGGCTGATGTAAAAATAAATTAATAAAATAACTGTTTTTGCACCGCTCACAGCCTGAGAGAGGTGTTAACACTGATTCTGAAAGAGATGATGAGTTTTATTTGGCTTTGTTTGCTGCTGTTGAGTAGCTTCATGGAGGGATGTACAAAGAAACAGAGGGGCCTTAGAGGAGAAATGGCTTAGGTAATTAAAGCTCCCTTTTGTAATCTTGCTGCTCTTTCTTTCACTGCTGTCAGGCAGAGAAAATTAGACGACAGAAGCTGTATTCAAATGTGATCCACGAACAGAACAAGAAGATAAGTAGGATTCCCTCTCTGTCGGCCAAGGACCCAGTGGGCAGTGACAATAAGGACACCGTTCCCAGGAGGAAGGTAAGAGAATCTCATTCTGAAAACATCAGCTTTATTTAATCCGTAAATCATATATTGCATGTCTTTCATCCAAAGTGGTTCACGTGTGTATATGTCATCATATTTTTATTTCATTGTTTTAATGTTTGTTTTTGTTTTTTTTTTCATTCTAATTGAGGTCATAATCTCTTATTGTTACTTTTTTAATCTCAAATAATCTTTCAATTTTATTTTGCCCAGGCTTTAGAATATGCCAAAAATATTGCAAAGCCCAAACCCCCTCTAAAGCCAAAGGATAGACCCAGAGAGCAGAACGTGAGCACGCGGCCTCAATATCCGCAGGAAATGGACCCATTCAATTTGGCCACTCTGGAGATGTTGAGACGGCACGAGGAAGAGAAATGTGCCGTGGCTTGCTTCAGAACCATTCATGCCATTTAATCTAGAGCCTTTATTCACTAAAAAGCAACATGTACATGAGTTATATCAATTGCACTTCTATAGAATCCCTATTTTTCCTTGCTTTAACTTTGTGTGTTGATTTTGTGTGTACTGTATGTGTAATACTAATCTTGCTCAGTTGCAAAGCACTGGAAGTGGAACAGGTGTTTAGCACATAATCCACTGCATACTCATTTTAAAAACAATTTTTCAATATAAAGAAATCTCGAATGAAATGCTGTGGGGTTTTGTTTGCATTATCCTGCTATTTTCACCTTGTTTCAATAGGTCTGTGCACAAGAGCACCAATCTCTTCAAGCACACCTGGATGCACCGTTAACCCAGTGTAACATGCCGTTTTCTGTCAGTTCCCAGCTATTAGTCTGATTATATCCACTTTCGCCTGCCCTTTTCTTTCACCGAGAGAAAAAAATAGGTCAAATAAGGATGACACTTTGAAGCCTCCCTTATTAGAGCCCACAAACTTGTTTTCTGTATTTTAAAGTGATAATTTTCCCCCTAAAACAAGCTCAAGCACCTATTTCTTTAATGGAAGCTTTAGATCGTTATCAAAGAGCTATTTACTCCTATGTAATATTTTAATTAGATTATAGCCTCTATTTAACCCATCATGTCTGCTTTGATACTCTGTGTTTTCAGTGTTAAGCCTCAGAGGCCAGGCTAATAAATGCTGGACCTTTTGAATTAATGAGAAATGCTGCCTTTCCAGACCGACTCTCCTTGCATCTTTTTTCACTCTCTCTCTCTTTCCTGCCATTGAAATCGGTTAATTGAAGGGGTCTCTCTCAACCGCACATGAAGGAGGTTGAATTAGCATCCCTTTTTAAGGATTGGGAGACTGAGGCAGGCTTTGATCTGTGAACAGTGCTGAAAGAGGCGGCAGGGCCCTGAAAATGAGCTGATGGCTCTGCTATTAGAGTAACATGCAGATGCGTCCATGTGTTGCAAAACGCTTAATCTTTTAATTGATCACCTTCCGCACGGCCTATTCTCTTGCAGTGTTTTATTTTCCCCGACTAAATCAGAATCACGTTTTGAAAACGGCATGAATTGCTTTTCAAAGGGTGGAAGTGTGCCACATATCCTGTTGGAGTAAAAAAAGAAAAGGGCTGTTGCCGCAAATGAATGCGATCTTCCCCTTGCTACACTTGTTAACATAAATATTTTATTTTCAAAAATTTCAGCTTTAGAATTATTTCGCAATAAATATTTCGTTATTTTTAGGACATCAGATCGCTCTCTGTATTGGACGGTAGGCTACATCAAAAAAAGTGCCCTACTACTATTGGCCTATTTTTATCACGTTGTTTAATATTTACACATCAGAAATATAACACATAAATCGGTTGTAAAACAATTGATCGCTACGAACTCTAAAAGGTAAAACAAATAAATAAATACTGACGGAAATTCCTTTTAAACATGCGTGAAAGTTATCGAGTAATTCACACACTGAAACTAAACTGCAACAAGTAACTTACACTGTTATTAGACTAATATAATGTAGGTTAAGTCTTTTTGTAAGTCGCCTAAAATTAAAAGGATTCTAACAGAACGCATGGCCCAGTGAGTCAGTATGGCATTTTAAAACTATTTAACATAGACCTACATGGCATATGAATAATGTTACAGTCAATAAAATATACAATGCGAGTTTAAAAAGGGCAAATTGCTGTATATCGATTGTCCAAGAACAATTCCAATATTCTCACGCCATACCTACATAAATAATATTTTCCACCGATTTCGAAAATATGCTCATACATTCAGACTCAAATCTCTGCTGCACGGTTGATTTCAGAACAGGGATTGGTTCAGTTAAAAACACGAACCACTGAGCACCATAATACTTAAAGTAAGTTAGCCCTATTATTTATATTTATGTGTCCAGTTTGTATAAATGATAAAGGGGGAAAAAAAAAATCAATGATGACAAATAAAGAGCAGAGCTAAATCATGCATTCATGCATCTGTATCTATGATGCAAGCAGTTTTTATTGACAACTCAATTGATTTTTCCATGTTAATTTTATTTCTTATTTGACTAATATTGCTCCTATATTGTTAGTGATAATGTTATTAATACTGTCGTTATGTAATAATATGGACTATTATTCGTTTCTCTAGTGTTCGGAATTGTGATAACCCGCAGCTTTCATGAATTTGAGGAAATTATGAATTATGAAAAAAAGACGTAGCTCGTTTAAGAATGGTCAGATAATTCCCTCAATGTACATTTGTTTATATACATTACTTGTTTTAACAAATGACAAGTCACAGTTTTAGAGTTCATAAATATGTCAGTCCACAACATGCCAACCAAGATCATCGTCCCGCGAAAGTGCTGAAAATGTCAAATGTTACACTTCAGTTGGAATGAAAATTAATTGTTACATCTTTCGAATGATTATTTATCAAGTACATAATCATAAATCTATTTACAGACTGTCAGTACATTACTTACCATTCATTCCAAATTTACAAAAATGGTCGTCAGACACAAAGCCATGACTATATTGTAATAATAATTATAATTATAATTATAATGTTGAATAGACACGCATAATTTTAATGTCCTTCAGCTGTCCAGAATTTTCTTAAGCGCTTGAACAGTAGGCTATATAACATTAGACCAACGCTCTCAAAGACTGAGCGCCGTAGCCAGTTCCACGCGCTCAGGTGTGGACAGATATCTCTGGATCTCGAACCTCTTCTCGAGTCCGGATAACTGTGAGTCTGAGAACACTGTTCTGGCCTTTCTGCGTCTGCAGTGCTTCCCTGGTAATTCGGGATGATGCTGAAATAACGCAGGCATCTGCATTCCTTTTGCAATGGAAACATAATGGTAATCATTAATAGCTAATAATAATTATAATTATAATTATAATGTTGAATAGACACGCATAATTTTAATGTCCTTCAGCTGTCCAGAATTTTCTTAAGCGCTTGAACAGTAGGCTATATAACATTAGACCAACGCTCTCAAAATAAAAATAAAAAAACTATATATAATTTCCTATCTAAAAGACTGTAATTAATATGTACACTTTTGTTCATGGGGGGTGATAATACTAAAGTAGATGTTCAGGAGAGCAAATGTCATCTTCAATATCGACATCATCTTCATTGTCGTCCAGCTTGTATCTCTCCGGACTCGTGCCGTTTTTACCGTCTGTACATTTCTCTTGCATTTCGCTCTCGCTCGTGTTCTCCAGAGATCTGTCTACATCATTTGGGGTTTTCTGGTCGTCTTGTGTTTTCCTCAGTTGTTTTTTATGCTTCATCCTCCGGTTTTGAAACCACGTCTTTACCTACGTAAGGCAAACGAATTATAAGCCTTAATGAACTTCTGATTCGTTTTTATAAAAGGTTTGTTAACACATGTAAGATCTTAAATATATATATAGTACTGGATCTCGAACCTTTTCTCGAGTCCGGATAACTGTGAGTCTGAGAACACTGTTCTGGCCTTTCTGCGTCTGCAGTGCTTCCCTGGTAATTCGGGATGATGCTGAAATAACGCAGGCATGTGCATTCCTTTTGCAGTGGAAACATAATGACAAACATTAATACATTTTGTTCAAATTTAGATTAAGCTTGCAGCAGCCTTGCAGAAAACTTTCCATGTTTATATTTCAGTCGCGTTTTAAATTTAACAGCGCAGGTGAATTCAAAACGGAAAGCGAAAAACACGTACAACATAAGTAAAAAAATATATATTTATTGTTTTAATCGAGCTGATTGTTTTTTTTCCCCCTGTAAATAAATAAATCGATTAGGAAAAATACAGATGCTGTTATAATCGACAGGTGATTTTAATAAATAAAAACCATGAAGTAGTCCCAATTACAGATAGTCGATAGTTTATTATTATTATTACCCAGAGAAAAAAACAAAACATGGTTCTTTGCTATAAGATCACGCGAATTTAGAATGTACAAATTCTAACCCTTAAAAATACAGTCGTGCAATTGAATGTAGTTAGTGATGGAACCATATAATATTTTGACTTGAATAAAACCAATTGATTTAAACACAAAGCAAATTTTAGGTTAATTGATATCATATTTGAAGCTTGTTTTTTTCCACTGTACCAATTTACCATACATTAAGGTTCAGTTTATAGAATGATTTCTAAAATATTAACTTGAATGACGTAGGCCTGTTTGATGTTTATGTTATAGCGGTCATATCTTCCAGTCATACAGCCATACAGACAAAATAAATGAATAAAAATATGCCACTTTATAAGCATACATCCAATAAATGCATATAATACGCACAATTTTCTTCACGTAAAGGCCTGAGTTTAAATTGCTACTTACCGGAGGTGAAAAAGTACGGATGGTGTTCAGGTTTGTGTAGCGGATGATGCGGATGAGGAGCCAGTATCGGTGTAGGCATAAGTGGATATCCATACTCTATAAGAGGCATCCGGGAGGCAAGACAGTTTGAAAAGGGCGAGGGAAACACCTCTCGCAAAGGTTTAGGTTTATGTAGTAAAATATCTTCAATGAAGAACGACGTTGACCTTTGAGCCGGCATCTGGGGGACCTGAGAAGTGTAGTTCAGATTCATCTCAAAACTTTTTCTTTTTTTTTTTAACGGACAATCCGTGGGGCTTTTGTTGCCTGTGTCGCAAACAAAATCACTCAGTTGGTCCCAGTCTTCAGGACCTTAAAAGCTGGAACGTAGTCTCGTTGGCAACCTGTGCACGCTGGTACAGGTACATTACTCTTTATTTTGGATCGAGACTGACAGCAGCAAATCAGGAAGTAGATTAGCACTCAACCAATGGCGCGACGGCTGGGCGGAGGATTGAACGACTTCTTTATGGATTAATTATGCAGGCGGCGGGAGGAGCGGCAGGGTCGCTCCCCGTGGTGCTGAAAAAGCCTCGCTACAAGAGCCCTGTCCCCGCAACAGTCACTCAGACATAAACCTGCACTTTCACTGTACACTGGCTTAAAAGGCGCGTGGACCTGTCAAGAATCTTAACAAAGAGCTGGCAGCATTTAAAGAATTCAGAATAATGCTCCGCACGCACCTGTTAGAATCCAGCTGAAACTTCGCTTACCACCGTTACAATTTAAACTCGTCATCGCGAGTTCTGTATTTAAGTGTTCTTTTGGATTGTTACCTCAAAAGTGTATAATAACCCAACACAACAACAAATTATTGAGGTTGGAATAAAAAAAAAATCGTGTTATGTATTTTAAGATGGGTTACAAATAAGCCTCAATTTCAGTCAGTTAAAAATGCTAACGATTTCAATGTTTATCGCAGTTCTGTATTTAAATCTACCTTCCGGATCGCTACTAAAATAACCAACTTAAAATAGTCATACAAAACAACTAATTATGTGTGAATGTAACCCAACGTTATACATTTTAAATGTTATAATGCCACTTCTTTCAGTTATGATCGTTACGATTTGAATTTTCTTCGCTACCCTTACGAAAATGAACTTGGTTTCACTACAAAGACAACAAATTAACCACAAATTAACCATGGTTTAGCGACACTAACCAAAGCTTAACCATGCTATTTGTAGTAAAACTATGATAATACAGCTGCAAAAAAAAAAAGGTTACA